GCTGTGTCCTTCTATTAGCTTCCTTCATTGAGGCATCTCCAAAGTTGCAGAAACTGGTGTTGGAGGTATATATATATTCTTGCTTGCTAGTGAAACTTCCTATTTAATTTGTGTATAGATGGTAGTTCACTCGTGTACGTTGTAGTGTTTGACATTTTCAATGTACTGATGCTATTCCAGTTCCATGATCACACACTTCATTTGTATTTTGTGCCTAACCTCTCCTCTGTATAGATTAATGCTCCCTTTTACTGCAAATTCATCCGTTGGTCAGTTATTTCAAGCCCAGTAAAATAAAAATGTGAAATTTTCTCGGGTCACTATTTTTCCTGTTGGAATGATAATGGTCAAGAAGTCATCAAGGAGAAGTAATGGTATTTCGGTTCTCGTTGCAGTTGACAGGTATTCTGAGACCCCAACCTAAGATAGAAATCAAGGAAGCTCCAAAAATTTTCCCATGGTTCCCTCAAGGTAGTGGAAGTGAAAAACTATCATGGTCGCCCCGGTGATTTGAAGCTTGTGATGTACTTAATAGACAACGCTGTTGGACTGGAAAAAATTGTCAACCATCCTCTCGAACAAATTAATAGCGAAGAAATGAGAGAGGTCTCTTTTATGTATCGTGCTAGGGACGAGATGGCACGAAAAGTGCCTAAACACATAGAATTGGTAAGCCCCCCCAATGTATTAAGTCCTTGTGCCTGCCTTTTCCCTGTATTTGGTATATTTGGGATTTTTGTTTTTGTTTCTTTGCTTAGACTCTGTTTCTGTTCCTTACTGGTTGCTTCTGGCCTTCTCAGGATGACCGTAATAACTTTCAGTTTGATCGTCCGGTGTATGTGTAACTGATTTTCCTTGGTTGTTCGGTTGCTGCGTTCGTTTTGGTTGCTGCGTCCGCCAATTGAAACTTCACAGAGGGAGGGAGGGTGGCTTAGTTGAATAAAGTGTAGTGCAGGCAGACTGCTTAAATTGAAAGTTTCCTTTATGCTTTTTCGGTCAATTTGTTTCCTTATGTTGGTTGCTGTTGTTTGGCAAAGTTTCCTGACTGAAATAAGAGATGGGCTTGTTGCTGAATATGAGATTATGGGAACTTGCTCTGTCTCCAAGGCTGATAACATTCTTTATTAGGTCTAAATGAGGCAGTGAACAGAAAGAAAAACAAATAAGGTCACACTTTTTCTTTTTGATCCAAGTTCATTGTGCTTAATTTGTGCTCCTTTGCTGGTTGTTTTTGACAGCCAAGTTATTGAGGAAATTGGGGTCCGTGTGCCAAAAACATGGCCATATAATTGAGACTTTGCTTTTCACGTGCCCTAAATGATAACTCTTGGTTTTCTTTTCGATGTTTCTAAATAAATTAATGGAGCTCTCTCTGGTATGGTAATTGGTAATTACTGCTCCACATGCTGTGACGGGTCAACAAGCTCAATGATGATGATGATGACTAATCTTGATTTAAAGAGATCATTGCAATGTAAATATTATTATACTAATCATGATGATCAACTCAAAACTTCAATTAGCAGTGATCTTTAGAGTTTGAATTGCTTTTCTGTTTTCTTTTTTATTAGTGGGTAGTGGTTAATTACGTACCAAAAAAAGAAGGCAATTTCTACTACAAATGAGCACTTTCTTGAATATTTTGTTTTAAGTATGACTTTTTTCTTATTTTTGGACTACAAAAATTCTAAATTAGTATAATGCAGATGACGGGGAATCGAACTCATAGGCAAGGCAGCAGAATTAAGGACAATTTCTTAGTATAACTATTATGAAAGAACTGCAGCAGTTAGTTATTATTACTATTATTATTATGTAAACTCCATTCATTAAAATCCAACTCGCTATATGCTCTTCCAATACATGTAAATCCACAAGTTCTGTGTCTGTAAATAGATAAGAAAAAGAATATAAACAGTGCTGCAGCAGATGCCCACTTTTTATCTAATCCTTAATCAAAAAGCACAGTACATACTCAGTCTAAAAAGAAGGTCATATGATATTTTCAAAGATGTGTATGGTTTGATAATGACTGTTCCTGCAGGGAACTTGAGAAAAGAGTTGAACCTTTTTGAGCTACTGTAAGGGTCTTCATTAAAATACTAAATCTGCAAAACCCAACACAAACAATGTTAGATATCATGGCTTAATTTATTTATTTTGTTTATTAAAGATTTTGCAGATAACAATTTTGTAGGTGTCCCAAAAGAGTTATCTCTTGCCAAGTTGGCTTGAAAATGGGTTCTCTATGGATTTATGCAACATGTCCTGGAAGTCGGCCCCAATCTATATAAGCAAGCAAGCAAGCATGGCAGGATCCAAGTGGGTCTCTGACTCCTACAGTCTGCCAAGAAGAGAGGGCAGGTGGCTTTCTGGCCCATTTCTTTCAATTTTTTTTTTATAAAATTTTTAAATCTTAAGTTTTTTATGGTCTAGAATGTAGGTCTAGAATGTAGACAACAAAAAGAGAATAAAAAAGCATGATGTTGGCACAGAATTTTGTGACTTGAAAACATTGGGTCATGTGGGTTGTAAGGAGAATGGGACATCATCCTACTTCTCTGAAGAAAAGAAAAAATCCAATCAATCCCTGCATTGTGTTTTCCAACTTTTGGGTTTGTACTTTATTATCTTTATGATTATAAAACAGATTGTTCTTTTTATATCATGCAATTTGACTGTAGTTTTGATCACTAAATTGGCTAGCTTGTTGTCCTGATCAAAGGCTAATAAACTTTCAGCGCTGTCATCATTCTCTTGTCTGGGTCCACTTGGATCACAGAACATATCACATGCATATAATCTTTGTATAATGCAATAATGGCAGCGTTACCCATGTATAATCTTTGATTGGACAATCTGGGCCATTTGATCTGCAGAATGTTTTTAATTGGTTGAATTCTCATGTGTACAACATGTGTGTGTATATTGTACACAAAAATTTATCGTTCTTCAATCATCAATCCACGTAGATGCCTTGGGGAAGATTTGCAATCTCTTAATACAGTCCTACACTGTTCTGTTCATATATATTTATATATAAATATTAAGTTAGCTGGCGTTGAAATTTGTCAGGGAAAGGTAGCTAAGAAATGAGAGGCGAAACAAAACCAACATATCTCACCACTCTCTAGGCTAGGGGTGGTTGCGGTTCGGTAACCGCGAATTTTTGCCCAAACCACGAACCGACCGACTATTTGCGGTATGGTGATTTTCCAAACCGCGAACCGACCGCAATTTGCGGTAAACCGCATTGCGGTAAACCGCAAATTGCGGTCGGTTACCGCGAATTAGCGGTTTAAAACCGCAAGTTCTCAAGCATTCACAAAAAATATAAATTCACAACCTAAATAAATAAATACACAACCTCAACTTCTCAAACATATTATAAATTCACAATCTCCTCAAGCATATTATAAATTGACAACCTAAAGAAAATTAAAGTTACAATTCCAAGCATTCCAATTAAAGTTATACTTCTCAAGCATTCCAATTCCAAATCCTTTAAAGTTACAAACCAAAAGCAAAATG